AATCAGCCATTCACTGGCTCATTTACTGTTTTGATATAACTTTCAGTTAGCGGCTTGGGTTTATGGTTCCAAAGCGGATTCCACTGATTTTTTCATTAAAGACTTTGGTTTCGTTGTACTTCATTTAATAACCTGTCCAAATGTCACAACACCAGTTGGCTACAATAGCATGCATATTTCTAATGCTAATGGTGTTTATTGCTGCTATGTCCAAGACGCCCCGCCGCGCAAGCGTGGACACTGGTCAACACCAATATCGAATGAAATGCAAAAGTACGAGCAAAAATGACCCTTAGTTCATGCGCCCAGCTCGAGTTGGACTACGGCGAACTACATTATATGATTTATCGATGACCAACGGACTTAAGCATTGACGGAATTATCAGCAAGAGTTTTCAAGATCTCAGATGAAATGGGGTGATGATCGAAATGAGAGATTTGAAAGCCTGTCGCACAAATTGCTAGAGACAGACAGGTGGCATCGAGGCTGTGCAATGGTGATGCCCTGAAATGTTTCTGTCCCGACAAGAAAGTCACTGAGTTCGAATATGCATGCACCTGTCCCATGCGTTTTACACTTATCGTGTGGTGCAGCTGTTGACCTCTTTCCTCTGTTGTCGATACGCCAGATGAAAAATGTTTTCTTTTGTTCTTAAGGATGACGACGTAAACGCATTGGGGTTGGACGTTGTTTTACTCATTTTTTACGATTATCCTTCAAGCAGTATCGGAATTTTCCATCTTGTCTTGTATCTCACAAAAACCTTCAGTCGTAGGTTAATTAGCCTTAGCCATCGTTTATATATGGCTAGATTCGGTTATTTGCCTTACCACTGCAACGTGAAACGTGGCCAACAGGGCGATGGCATCATTAGAACCCAGACCTTAAGCACATTACTTCCAAGGATCTATTCGGAAGGTTTAAGTGATGTGGTAAATGGGAATTAACCTTAGTTGCCTTCAATAATCTTAGCATCTGAGATAGTGTACTATTGCTAGTCATTTCCAGCAGTGCGGAAGGGGATAATCCTCGCATTGCCTTTGCTCTTGAGGTTTCATTGTCCCTTCAGGAGTAAAAGGATAGTAAAAATTTTTCATACTTCTTTCTTCCAAGATTACTGTTAAGCAGTCGGGTTTGTACAGTCTTCTTTGTTATGTTTGCAGTCGAACACGCGGACAGATTCGTACTTGTTGAAAGGCATAGGGGGCTATCAATCCTGGATTCTACTGTCAACACATGGTATGAAAATCCTACAATGATTACTCAGGCTTTCTTGAACGATCAACTTTACTAAAGATTATGGTGGTTGTATTCATTGCTAAGTATAATGACTTTTTTGGAAATACGCTAAACTATTGCTGCTATTGCTTTAGGCTTATGATGTATGCAGTCGGTTCAGTTCAGATTGTTTAAATGTACATTGTTTTAGTACGGGCGCACTGAAAGCTACCGAGTTGCGACGCAACTTTTGTCGGTAGCGCCAATTAAAGAAGACTCGGAAGAAAATGAGGTTGACGACGGATCTGCGGTTCCGCCGCCTGTTGCTTCTGAATTGTCTGACCAACAAAAGCAACCACAGCAACAGCAACAGTCCGCCAAGGTTTATCCGGAGCCGAGAGCCCAGGACATTAGTAAGAAGGTGCAAATGAAAAATGCCCTGCAGGACTTAAAGCAGGAAGTTGATATGGTTCGAACCTCGTTTTTAGAAGTTATGTGCAGATGTCTAATAGAGTATCATCGAATTTAGGACGAGCATCGAATTCCTATGTCTGAGTTGCTGGGCAGACTTGAGACGAACGTCGAAAAAGTGAGTCAGAGTATATTTTAGTGTTCTTTTTACAGCACTGCTTTTAGCTCTCTTTGTTTTCTTGTTTTCATGATATTTTTGCTATACCGCTCTAATATATTTTACTAATATCATATGTATGATATATTGATGCTGCATTGGCTTTGTCACGTTCTGCGAATGCTTCCGAAAACGGTCACGGAACGCCTATTATTTGCCCAATTGACCGTAAGAAGACCCCTAGGACTGACGAAAATGATCTGGGCAATTGTCTAAACTCATTCAGCTCCAGATTGGAATTATCTTAAGCGGTCATTAAAGCTGATTGACCGACTAGTTTCTAGCGCTAACGTTTCATACGTTACTTGGTTTGTGATCGAAGCAATGGCAAATTATGCCAGTTTGTCCGTTCGTTCTGTTTCTTGCTTGAAGAAACGCTGTAGCTTATTATCAGTACTATGTAATATTGAGAGGGATGTAAAACTGTTTATTTGTACATAACACATACGATTTGGTCAATCGAATGATTGATTATTTCTGACCTTTCGGTCCGCGCCTTATGTGCCTTCTTAAAGGTAAAGAGATGATGATTTATCTTCACACGTCATTGTGGTCGTCTTTAGCAGTTCATATGTTGGCAATCAGAAAGCAACACGGACGTAGAATTCCCCATCTGACTCCGATATGTTAACAGCTGCGAGCGACAGAAGCGACCTCTGTTATCCGTCCACATCTCTGCCTCGAAGAAGGTTCGAAAATGTTAATGCGTATAAATCATCCGATTATCCCTATTGTTTGCGTTGTGTGTAAATAAACCGTGTTTTGTTCTGTTTTTAGTATGACCATTAATGAGTGAATTAAGTACAGTATAAACTTTGAATATTATGTCATATGTTTTATTGTCATTGACCGTCATACTGAAAAAATTAACACCAAAACAGTTTGTTTATACACAATGCAGTATGGAGTTTTTGTCGTATGATAGACTGATAACAACATTTCGGTCCGTATTTAACAGCACCTTTTTCAGGCGGAAAGTTCAGGTGTTGTTAGCATCGTGCGCAGTAGGGGTTCGTTTTCCACCTGGAGGCCTTTGGGATACACCGTTTGTGTACTGTTTTATGCTGTCATTTTCATTTCATCTTATAGCTTTGAAAGTATGTTTGGAATTTTTGCACTGTTTGTTTATCCCTTAAAGGGATTTTAGGTAGGTCGAGTTCATTGATCGGGTTATCGTGAGTCCTCATTATCACTTCATAACCGATTGATTGTTGTAATTCCTGAAATCTTGTCTATTGTTTGGTCTTCGTTCGTTTTCAGGTTGATAGGATTAAAATGTCATCAATCCTTCTATTTTCAACCTGAGTTGACTCTTCACGCAAATAATAAAATAGCATATTAACTGTTGGATGCAAGTATTGTAAACCTGATGGAATTTTCGTAATCGAAAGGAAATTCTGCACATGTAATGACTGTACTTTTCTTCGCTTATAAGATTAGGTGCAAATGGGTCGATTTAATGTGTCATTTTTGACGATTTCACTTGTAGCAGCCACCTCAGTTGATCCAATGACGTTGCTTTCAGGGATTGACGGAGGAAGCGGCGAAGCAGAAACTTCTTAAGTACGGTCCGAATGCGTTAACCCCGCCGCCGAAGATTCCTGAATGGGTGAAGTTCGCTAAAAATCTGTTCGGCGGTTTCGCGCTTCTTTTGTGGATCGGTTCCATTTTGTGTTTCATTGCATATGGCGTCGATCTGTACACGTCGGAATATGCCCTGAATGACAACGTAAGCGTGGCCGGCCAAACATTACTTTTTTGCTATCACGGATAGGCGGCAGTAGCTTCCTATGGAAAACAAGTGTTTTTTAATTTAATTTTCTGTTTATATTTGTTTAAATTTACTTCGCACCTGCATATTTAAGAAGAGACTTAGCTCTTCAACGAGTGAGACATGGAGGTCACTGCATATCCTTACAAGTTTCACTAAGCAGACTGTCTAAGTCACGTAAATTTAAGTATACTGGTCTGCTAGCTTTTATTATTATCCTAGTTAAGGGTATCATCGAGTCATTCTTTTCGCAGATCATTTTACACTAGGCAGGAAACAATGAAGAAGATTGTGATAATAAAGATTAGCAGCCACCACTGACAAATGGTTATCAGCACAAACTATAATTAACAGACTACAAGTTATAATCGAAGCATGTTACCTTCGAACATTTGTAGTTCTTCAGATTTTCAGAAATAAACCAAGTTGCCAATGCCTTGACTCCGTTTAATGAGTACTTCGCCTTAAACCTCTTTGAGGAAATGGTAAGTTTTTTCTGAACAGTATTCGTCTGTATGTTGCAATCTGTGTATCTGTGTATATATGATTTAAATCTATATAAACCTACTCTTAGATTAGGTTATGACATTGCAGATTTAAAATCTGAGAGAGCCGATTCTAATATTAGATGAGTTAATCTGTAGCAGAGGTTTGTTGACTGACCTAAGATTTTTTACACATATAAGATATATATAAGATAATTGCGAAGTAAGCATTTTCGAGTGCATGCAAAACAGCTAGCGAATGAAACCAGAAATGGTGGTATACATTCACAGTGCAATATATCGTATGATAACTTTGCGAAGGAAAGTCAAGCAACAACTGAAAGAACATCCATCAACTTCTATAGAGAGAAGCTGATTATCACCGGTAACAGCATTATAAACAAGTACTACAGATTGAAACTGTCAGTAACCTGTTTGTGCGTTTAAAAATGTTTTGAAAAGTCAAACAACTTTTTGAACGATTGTAAAAATAAAGATAAACCTCACTTTAACAGTTTGACCCGTTTTTAAATCATAACGGCAGAGTAAGCGATGATTCAGGAGATTACTCAAGTGACTGACTGGTTGGTTGATCGAGGAAGTTGCTGACTATCCGAGTGAAGGACTAACTCACTGACTCACTGATTGAGAGATTACTCATTAACTGGCCGTCTAATTGAGGGATTTGCTGTCCACATATCTGACGGACTAACATTTTTACTGCGATTAAAACTGTTCGACTTGTTAGCCGTTAATATATTGGTGTTATTAAAATTTTTCAGATGTATCTTGGCATCGTACTGGCTGTAGTTGTCATTGTGACAGGCGTGTTCCAGTACTATCAGGAAGCGAAAAGCTCGAAGATCATGGAATCTTTCAAGGACATGGTTCCTCATGTAAGCCGTTGTAAATTAAATTCAGCTACTTATTTTGTGCGTACAGAGATTTGTGAACAATAACATGAATAAGACAAGTTTTACGATTTGAAAACTGTTTATTTTGTTCTTTAGTATTCCTCAAATTCGAATTTTGCCTCTAGGGAAAACGGGGACTGCTGGTTATTTACTTCTTATGGCTATAGAATCTGAACTTTATCTGAATAGTGATCATCATCATCATGTGGGCGTAGTCGACGGGAGGACCGCTGCACAAATAAGAAGAATATCCTCCGACTACATAGTCAGTGCCAGTAGCTGCAACACTGTGTGGAGTAGCTTGTGGTCGTATTTCTTTTGATTGGTTGTTTTTTATACTCTGTCTCTTGAGCAGTGGAGACATACAGAGAAAGAAAGCAGCCATATTGCTCGAATGTGGGCATGCTCGGTTGCTCGAAGAGGACAAAGCTCTTTCGCAGTTCACTCCGCTGAGTAATCTGCTCCCTGCGACAGTGACGAGAGAAGGATTTATAGGAATCTGCATCTGGTTCAGAGTATATATAAATATATACTCTGTGAACTCTTAAGCTCGCGCCCTTACCTTGTCGCACATGATCGGGAGTTGTCATATGTCTCCTAACATAAATAAGTGTGAAATAACGCCATATATTAATTTAGCACACCAACACTTCCACTGAACATGTATGATCATTAGGGCTTGATGCCTGATGATAATCAGTGCCATTCGATCGAAGCATTGTATGTTACATGAAAACTTTTTATCTTTGTACTGCTCTCTGTGGAATGAAATGGTGCAACTACTTCCTCACAATATTTTTGCCTCAAGAATTTATTAATCGCTAATGCATTTTCATTGGGTATCTAGATGATTTCCCTTTCTCTTTCTGAAAAATTGGTTTTGTGCTTCAAAGAATTTGAAATTTTTCCTCAATACGTGTAAAATCCTCTTAGTAAAATTAAATCTGTTTCCCTCATTGTGGAGACGTTTCATAAATTATATTTTATGCAGATTTGAGTATATTATAAAGTTTAAGCCGTGCATACGTTGTGTCTGAGTATCATGACGGTAAACTGAACAATTTTGGTTCTAGTTTGCGCAGGTAATCAGAAATGGGCAGAAGAAGAACATCCGAACTGAGGATGTGGTCATTGGTGACATCATCGAGATTCATGGCGGTGATCGAATCCCGGCAGACGTAAGGATTGTATCTGCGCAAAGTTTCAAGGTTTGTTTCAGATTTGGTGCCACTCTTGCCCTTGCCATAGCTTTCGTAACAAAAAGCACTTTATACTTTCAGGTTGACAACTCATCCCTCACTGGTGAATCTGAGCCTCAGAGCCGTAGTGCTGAATGCACCAGTGAAAACCCGCTTGAAACTAGAAATTTGGCCTTTTTCTCTACCAACGCCGTCGAAGGTAGCGTACAGCTTGCCGTGTGAAAGGGTAGAGCTTCTACGGCTTCTTTTTTAACTCGACTTAATTGCTTCCTGGCACATCCCAACTTCGAATTTTACAGTATGGCACGTTGTCAAAATATGTAGTTAAAATTTCAGCGTTGTTTGTGGTCGTAAGTATCATATCGTCATGTTGTCACTTTGTCAAAATTTTGTTTCTGCAACCCTTCTCAACGGTGTGGGTAGAACATTCAGGTCTTGCTAGTCGATCCTTCTGTCTATCTGTTTTTCAGAGCCATTTATTTGCTATATAGTTGCAGTGCAACAGCATATAATTCATTACGTTTCGTTGTTCGTTATGATGATGATGCAGGCATCATTGATGGTCTTTTTTTCTCCAATCAGGTAACGTCTACGTTTTAGGTTTCCAGATAAGAAAATTTGCTTACCTGAATCAGATTTCTGTTTTTTCCTTGATTTGGCCTATGACTTTGCGAAGAGACATCGCCGTTTAAGCGATAAATGAATGCAAATCTATTGCATTTTGCCTATTTATGAGGTCGCCTAATCTTTTCTGGTTGAGTAATGCTTATTTGCATATTCTTAGAATATAAACCTAACTCTGGATGTTGGAGATAAAGTATATAAAGTTTATCGGCTTCCAGAATATCGTTGTTGACGAGAAAGTTATATAGATAGCTTATAATGTACGGCGAGTTACCTTCCTAGTGCTTAGTAACATGGGGCCTTGGTGAATGGAATTTATTCCCTAATCATCCGGAAGAGAGGATTAGTCCTGCTGTTCTCCGTAAAACGGTTTATTCGAATTATGCTTAATGTCAGTTCATTTCTTTCACATACTAAAAGTAAAATGATCCGAAGATAATTCTTATTTCCCATTTTCAAGAATGTCACACAGATTCGGCATTAACACAAATTTTGAAAGTGCTCATTAGTCATAGAAGCAAAATTATTGGTTAATTGGCGGCAAAGTTGCTTTAACCGTGTTTGCGTTTGTGGCTATTTGCGGTATCGATGTTCCCCATCGTTTTTAGTTATTGTGCTTTAAATACTCATTGTAGAAAAAAGTGTTACCAAATTCTTAGAAGCTTTCTCTGAGCATATTAGTTTCTTCATCGTTTCTGTTGAAGAATTTCAGACAGTGGTGAGGAATCTTCTCAGGAATGCAACTTTTAAGCACATTTATCTTTGAGGTAAATCCACGGTTTTGGGTATTTAACAGACATAACCGATGTGACTTCAATGCAGCGGATGCGAAAGTGATATTTCGTCACGCCTGACCATAGCATGCGGTCTTTCACTTTGCTCGTTATGCTCTCTCCGTAATATATATATGTTAGTTGAGTATAGTTAGACAGTTATGGCATAACTAGCGCAGTAAATTTTTTTAAAAATATTGATATTGTTGCCATTAATCGAAGCTATTCCTCGCATTCTTTTTAGGCACTGCCAGGGGAGTCGTCATCAGTACCGGGGACAATACTGTTATGGGAAGGATCGCGCATTTAGCTTCAGGCCTGGAAACGGGACAG